CAAAGATTTGTCGAGGATAGTCCCAATTGCATACAAGATAAGAAGGTCAAAAAATTGAAGCTTTAGTCTAGGTAATGAGAACCAGTAATTGGGGGTTCTTGACTGGGATCTTTAGCAATTTCATAAAATTAGCGGTCCATTTGAGCAATTTCATATGTTTGCCCTCAATTGTGATGAATTTCTTTGAGAAAATCTTTGTGTAATCTTCTTCTATGCTCAGCTGTATCTAACATGTCTTCCGTCGAAATGACCCACCTGCAATCTTCAACCAGTTTGAATTCTTCAAAAACCTTCCTGATGATCTCTATCTTAGGGCAACCTTATTGGAACTTTCCAACTAGTGTAAATTTGTATTTTCCTGCACGAGTTGAAATTTCAGCATCAGAAAAGAAAATTACTGGTTTGCCCGTCTTTTTCTCTACTTTTTTGATGAGATTGCAATCTTCATTTCAGTAACATAATCATGGTAAATCTACAGGAATACCACACTATCTGCGAGATAAAAATGGGAGTTGCATTTGTTAACCACTGTAGCATATGAAGGTTTGGCAGGATTATCACCGGCAAGGGCGGCGGCGTAGGAAAGTCCTGAGGTCATTACCGCGGCCAGTGCCAACCGGCAGCACAGTGAGAAGCTGCACGAGTGTCGAATGGCTCTGTCGCAAACGGCAGAGGGAGAGCCGAGCAGACCGGGGGGGCCTGTAGCAGGAAGGTGTCAAGCGGCTTTGTCGTAGACGAGACGTAAGCAGAGTTGTCAAGCGGCTCTGTTGCAGACGAGACGCAGGCACAAAGAGGACCGCAGCACTGCCTCCAGACGAGACGTGAACACAAATGCGAGACGACGAGAGACGAAGCGACGTGAGTAGATCCCGAAGCTGAAAGACGCTAGGGTTCATCATGGGGCAGAACCCAAGCAGAGCGGAACGACAACATGTTTTACACACACACACACAGTTACATATATATCTCACTTCTTTTCTCTCTAATCTCCTCTTTCTTTCTCTTCGTTTTTCTTTTTCTTTTGACTTCTCTTACACACGTACACGCGCTCGCGCGCGCATACACATATATATATATATATATATATTTAGAAAGCATAATGGCTAATATATTAGAAAGAAAGTAGAATACAGATAGATTGTGTGAGAGGGCCCAAATATGGCACCCTGCCCACACGATAACCATCATACGTAAATGGTTCCAAAAAGAGAAAATACAGAAAAATACATAAGAGACCTAAAGAAAAGAAAAACCAAAAAGTTTCAAAATTCGAAGTATCAGGTAACTAAAGAGTGAACCAATTTTGTCTTGTCTCTGCCTCTTCTCTGCCTTTAGTTCTAGGAAGAAGTCAGCTAATAAATCGGTGAGATGAGTCTCATTGTCAGTAGTAACCAATATATCATCTAATAAATTCCCGAGCTCGAGTCTGCCTCCATTCTTCTTCTTCTTCCTGGAACAGACTTGTCATTACTCATCCAAAGATTGGCTCACCTGGTCAGTTGATTGGTCTAAAATGTGTCAGACATGTGTAGGTTGTTGAACATTAGAAGCAATTACTTGTTGTACCAGCTAATCTTTTATCGGATCAGGGGAGCGAGAGCACTCTCGTGCGGCTTGGCATGTAAGTGGACCTTCATTAATAACAATGAGTGGTATAAACACATTTGGATCTGTACTTGTAGTATGGTGTTCATCAGAAACTGCGGTGTTGGCAAGGCGGGATCCACAGGCAAATCAGACACCAAATCCTGTCTTGTGGGAACTTTCTCCACAAATTGAGCAGATGCGTCCGTAGCAATGGGGTTACACCCCTCTTTGTTTACTTGAACTTTAGTTTTCAAGTTTGGATGGAGTCTTTGACATTTATCAAGTGTATGTCCAAACATCTTACAGTGGGTACAATAAAAAGGTTTACGTTCCACGAAAATTGGTTGTCAATATCCATTGTGAGTTGTGCCCAGCCAGGCTTCAGTAATGTCAGGTAAGGTAATATCCTTTTCCACAAGTATTCTGGCCACAAAAGGTCTGGTTAGCTCCATATAATCCAAGAATGGCTCCAATAGAATAAAGAATTTGATGATTAAAGAAATGCAACTTGAGACCAAGTAAACTAATTCATACTGGAACAGTAGGAGACTCGTGATTTGGGTCATAATCAGGATACCACTTGAGTAACTTCATTGACTTGTCTGCAATGTTGAGATATTTTTTAGAGAAAATCCGAGCATAATTTTCAGCTAGGGTTAACTGAATTAACACATGTCTCACATCCAAAAGTCTCACTTTCCAATTGCCTACAAGTTTGAGATCGTCAACACTCTTTTTGATAACTTTCATAGGTGGGTGTCCTCACTCAAGTTTCCCAATAAGAGTGAATTTCAATTTCTCAGTTGTTAAAATTTCTGAATCAGAAAAAATTGTGTTGTTTTCTCACACATCCTACTTATCTTCTTAAGAAAAGTGCAATCATTCGTATCATCACGACATTCCTCATAGCTTGAAGGGAAGACATAAGTAGATTCAGCAAGATGATTACCAACCACATGGGCGAAAGAAGCTTTGTCCGTATCAACCGAAGAAGAAGGAAGCTTCATAACGACGATCCTTCAGCCCGCAAGATGCAAAAGCCAAAGAAACCAGACGGTCTGATCCGATGGAGCGCGACCAAAAGTGAATGGACGCGCGTCGGGTCGAAGCAGCAGAAATTTAACCTACGAAAACATACGCGGGACGGAAGAAACAAGCGCGTA